TACTAAGCAGAAGTTTCAATCAATTTTAAAATTAATATGAATAGTCAAAATGAATAGAAAACTATATAAATAGGGTCAATTTTTAAAAATACTTATTAGATAATGGTGATTTTAAAGTTGTGATTCTAATTTTTTTTTAAATCATAATTAATATACACTATCTTCATACTATTTAAATAAATATAATTTATGTTTCAAAAAATTTAAAAAAGAAGGAAAAGAAAAAATTAGTACATTCAGACATTAAAAATATCAAGATATCTAGTATTTAATAATAATCAAACTTAATAAAGTTAGGCTCCATATCATATCCCATATCATATCCCACGTATTTAATGATTATGATTGAAATTTTTGATATTTTTAATACTAAAACGTGTTAATTTTTCCTTTTCTCTAAAAAAAAAAATATTATCTCTTGTCTAAATTAGTTGCCCACTATTAATTTTCACACATGATTTTAGGTGATTTTCGGTATTTCCACTTCTTCGGGGAACCGTGGCCTGTGGCAATACGGCGGTGGGTTTTGTTTCAGCACGGCCCACCATCCACCTTCAAGATTAAGGCCGCATTATTCTGCTCCCCCAGGGCCTCAAGAGAGTTCCTATGGACATATAAGGTGACAATACCAATTTTGGCCAATAATTTTTAAATTTGTATTGAAATAGTTTTTTAACTTCAAAAAATATTAAAATTGTCTTTAAATTGTAATTTTTAATATTAAAATAATCATTTCATTAACAAAAGTTTTTACGTAGCTTATTGTTATAAAATTATTATTTTTTTAAATATCAATGATTTATAAAATTAAATAGTTATATTTTGCCATCATAATATATTTTATTTATATATTAAATTAATATATAATTAATATTAAAAAATAAAATTAAAATTCATAATCAAAATTTAAGAACTAAATTAGTATTTATTTTCAAAATTTAAGGATTAAGTATTTATCTTCAAAGTTTAAAGATTATTTTAATATCAAAAATTAAAATTTAGAAACAATTTTAATATTTTTTTAAAATTAAAAAATAATTTCAATATAAGCAAAAAAGTTAAGCAATAAATTGGTACGACAAAGCTGAGTCAGTACCAACAACCCAATGTCCAGACTTGGGCTGGGCAGAAGCTTTAAGAGAAATGATGATAAGATATGGCCCATAAAGTGAGGCCCAACCCATTTATCACAAAATATAATTTGACGAAGTTAAACCGCTACCCTGGTTCCGTTTCTGGTTCTGGTTCTGGTTCTGGTTCTGGTTCGGGCTAAAATGAAAATCTGAATTCTTCGTGTTCGCTCCCTCTCCTCAGATTCCCCGATGACCGGAATCCCCAAAATCCTAAACCTTTGAACCGATAAATCCCTCCTATTTCTTCTCCATTCCGATCACATTACCAAATCGTTTCATTTTCCGTTCATCAGATCCATTTATTAACTGTTCGATTCCGCCCCCTGATGTGATCATATCGTCTGACGGAACGTTGTCGGGAGGCTCATCAATTCGCTTACCGCCGGTGAGTTTGAATTTGAGATCTCCTAGTCTTCCCCTTCACCTCTAATTTTCCATGATTCTGTGGTCATTGACTTGAATTTTTCTTAAATTTAGCCAATTTAGTCTCCATGTTTCTGTTTTATTGTCCTCCAGTTGAACCAGAGTTTGACATTAATATATCATTTGAAAAATTAGGTCTAAATTAGGTCTGAGTGATCTGTAAGGTGTATTAACTATGCATTTTGCTCGCATAATGCTTGAACCAGTGGTTTTTTATGGCAGCATTATTTGGTATGGAAGTATGAATGCAGTAAAGCTGTGTTCTTTGAGGCTTTATTTATTTGCTCATTATTGGGACTGAAAAAGAAGCTTTGCTGCTTTTCGCGTAGCTTATTTGGCCATCTATGGGTTTTTTTTCCTTTTTTAATGGAAGTTTATAGAGGTGAAGAAGACAATATGAAAGTCTTCATTAGTCTGATTCAATGACTGGTTTGCCTACAATCAAAAGATTTACCTCTTTATCTGTTGAGGATATTTCTTGCCTACGTTTATTTTGCGGTCGGGGTTTGTTGATGCTCGGCTGTGCCATTCTTTTATTATCTTTTTAAAATTCTTTTAACTGATTTTTTGGTACATTGTTGTGTGATGTATTTAAAGTGGCTGTACCTTTTCTTTGAATCAATGGACTTTTAAGAGTCTGAATTTCTCACAGCTACTTTAATAATGAAGGCAACAAGACAAAGATAAAAAAGACCCACAATGAAAGGGAAATGTTTCAAAAATATCCCCAGAAACCTGTAGTTACTACTTACTAGCATGTGGGATATGGTGTCCCAAGGATTTCCTTGAACATGGGTTTCCTATTGTTATTCTTTGGCTAATGTTGCTACTCTGTTCTTGTCAACTATAATGGGCGCCAGTTGCCCAGGAGTTGCTTTGGCATGGAAAGTACTTAGATAGTTTGGGTCTAAGATTCGTAATTCTTTTCAAACTCTCTCTGGACGTTTAGTTTCAAAGAGCATCAGCATCATGTTATTGGAAATTTGAAATACATGTTTGCATGGTGGTGAGGTTGCATACAGTGTTTGTCTTTTTTGGATTTGGTTGTGGCTGATTATCATTTCTTCTTTTGAAAAAATTTTGATTGGTCGTGCACACATTCTTGAGTTCACTGATTATAAAGATAAGAGATTCTTGTGGGTTTCTTTATAATAGAATTCATGGATGCACTAGACTCTCTTGTTTCTCAAACTTATGAGATTTATGGTCTTGCATTTCAATCTTCCAAAGTTCCAATGAAGATTTGATGAAAACTAATTTGAATTGTCACGTTCAGGATCTGACAATGCTTTTATTACTAGAATGATATTTTCTAGGGTTGTCTGTGGCTAAATGACAAATGAGTGCAATGATGAGTGGGGTGTTCGTACTTTACTTCTGGTGGTACCATTTGATTTTGTATTATGCCTTTAGAAGGATCATGGTTTTGTTGGAATCAAGTAAGAATGGTCCTCTACATTTTTTTTTAATTTGCAAATGGTTTAGTGTTATTTCCATTTATTCCCAATACAAATTGGATGCCTTGTTTTGGTTAAAGTGAGATTTGAGAAATAAGAGACCTGGAAGTAGCTGGAGGGATAAAGATAGTAGTGTTCCTTCTTACCTTTGAGAGGTTAGGAATTTCAGGAGCAGGAGGAACAAGATCAAGGTGCTGAGTTCTGTGATAGATTAAATAAATACTGTCAAAGCTACAGTTCTTCACTTGCTTCTCCTCTGTCTCTTTCAATTTTTCATAAGCTAATTTACTCTTTAAAAAAAAAAAAAATTTATAGTGGTTGTTCATTGGGATCCACCCACTTTAGCAGATCATTGTTTATCAGCATATGCTAATGTTTTTGTATTCTTTTTGTGTAACTGCAGGGACCTTACAAATGACTACCAGGGAGGGTCTGCTTACAACTTCAAATTTATAAAAGGTCTGATAGATTTGCCTAAGTGGTGAGGAACAGAGAGTGGAGTAGATGTTACTCTTCTGTTTGTAGATCTGCATAATTTTAACTTCAGAAGATAGGTATTTTCTCAGATTCTCACTTTGCTGGATTTAAGCAATTGTTAACAACTGCAATTTTCTTCTTGGTATTCCTTACCTGTATTTCAAGTCTTCTTTCCCAGCTGTCTTTATTCTTTTTCTTCTCTAAATTCATTTCTTTTTCTTGAATAGGATAAATTTGTGATCTCTAAGCTGATTTTGGGTCACAGAAAAAGGGGGCCTGGAATCCTGAAGGCTGTTCATTGTTAACATGGCCCCATAGAGTGAAGGTCCACTTAGGTTAGGAGGAAAATGGCTTTTGTTTCTGAAGAAGAGAAAACTGAGGATTACCTGTTCAAGATTGTTTTAGTTGGTGATTCAGCTGTTGGGAAATCAAATTTGCTTGCAAGATTTGCTAGGGATGAGTTCTACCCCAATTCAAAGTCAACTATAGGAGTAGAGTTCCAAACACAAAAAATGGATATAAATGGAAAGGAAATTAAGGCACAAATCTGGGACACAGCAGGTCAGGAGCGTTTCAGGGCTGTTACATCTGCATATTATCGTGGTGCAGTTGGAGCTCTCCTGGTGTATGACATCAGTAGACGTCAGACTTTTGATAGCATTGGCAGATGGCTTAATGAACTTCATAGTAAGAACCTTGATGATTTTACAATGTTTTCTTTATTTCATTTATTATGGTTGGTTTTTTAATTAAATTAGCAAGGGAATGTTTGAATGCCATAACATCAAAATGGTTCCCCTGCTTTCTAATTTTCTATCTCCATCTGTACCTTATTGGTGTCTCAAGTCTTAATTTGAAATAGGTGTGCGAAAGGGTTGCATTATGGTAGTTTCTTTTATATATATTTCTAATTTTGGGTTTTCATTCACCTAACGTCCACATTATAGATGACGGGCTTCCTATATTTGATGATGAACATAGGATTAACTTGTCTGGGTTTTTTACCTGAACAGCTCACTCTGACATGAATGTAGTTACCATACTAGTTGGCAACAAGACGGATCTCAAGGATGCCAGGGAAGTACCCACTGCTGAAGGCAAGGCCTTGGCAGAGGCACAGGGTTTGTTTTTCATGGAAACTTCAGCCCTGGATTCCTCCAATGTAGCAGCGGCCTTTCAAACGGTTGTTAAGGAGATTTACAACATTTTAAGCAGGAAGGTAATGATAACTCAAGAATTCAAGAATAAAGACGCTGCTGCTCTGGGGGAAGGGAAGACTGTGGTTTTACAGGGAGAGGGAAATAATAAAGAAGCCCTTGATGAAGAGCCTAAAAAATTTGGTTGTTGTTCTTCATAATGCTCCAGAGTGCAGACACACTGCTCTGCTTGAGGCCATTTTCCATTTCTCTCCAGCTTTTGCAGCATAAGTTTTCCCATATTATTCTTTCTCTTCTCCATATCTTCATTTCTTGATACAGTCGAGAAGTTTATTTAAGTAGTGTTTGTTTCTACAAGTTCACGGTTATGATGGTGAAGAAGACACAGTAGCCAGGGTAAATGAACCCAAGGAGATTTAAGGGTAAACGAAATCACATGTTCCAATTTTGAAATATGCTCTCTTCCATCTGTAGTGTTTAGCCGTAGTAAATATTGAATGTTTCCTTATCAACTGTTGTTCGCTGCACCAATGCATTTCTAGTGGACTTCTATGATATCCATATGATCTATCATGTTGTTTGTCGTATTCCCACGAGTTGTTACTAATACTACCATATAAATAAAACGAGGTATACATGGTCATGGTGATATTATTACAATGATATTGCGTTGAAAAGTTGTGATGAGATTGCTGTTACATCATTCTACAATATACCCTGTTTGTTTTGATTAATTGGGACAACTCAAGAATCCATTTGAGTATTGCGCCTGAACTGGGGCTATAATGTTTGATATAGTGGCTCAAAAACTTGATTCCTCCGTCGTGGGCCGCCTCAAGAAATATCGCAAACTGTTGCCAATAACCTGCAAAATTTAATAAAAGCAATACTTAACAATATTGGCAGCAGGGACGCAATAGCTCCCTTTTGCTTTGCAAAAATCTTGGATGCCAACCTGAAGCTACAAGGACCTAGAGGCCGCAAGGATAATTACACATTCAACTACTATTTATAATAACTTCTCTCTTTTCAATAAGCGATATGCCATTTTATAATAACTTCTCTCTTTTCAATAAGCGATGTGCCATTTGGAGAGCTGTCGACTTGGATTCATTGACAGTTTTCACCAGATAGGCAGCAGAAATATGAGTGGGACATATTTTGTTCTATAAAATCATTCAATTCCATCTTTGCTCAACTACTATGATCCTTACCAGCTGGAGAGGCTTGCTGATGGCTTTACCCTTATAGCTGACATGAAATTTTGCCTTGGCCAGCAATCCCTAGGTTTTGGAGGCAACAGGTGAGTAAAAAAATTAATATACTAAATCCAAATGCTGCAGCTAGTGTTATTATTATTATTATTCATTTATGGAAACAATTAGTATAGAGAAAAAGTCACCCTTGGTGACTCATGCACAAATGAGAAAAAAGAGAGAAACTGAAAGGAATGATCACCTCAGTGTCGAACTCTCCAGACTCAACAGCAACATTGATGTCAGTAATGATCTTGACTAGATCCACTAATAACCCTGGGCGATCAGCTGTTTCCACAAGCAACAAGCTGAACCATAATATAAAGAAATCATTTAAGATGCAATATGTCAATAACCACAACATATCACCTCTCCAAGTCATACTATGCAAAATAATAAAGGACCATGAATAGTTAGCAACAAGGGCTATGGTAAAGTATCATTTTCATGCAGGCAAGGATTGTGCTGATGACTATGAGCTCCAACATGTTGAGGAAAAGAACAAAGCATGCATTACCTACGGTTGGGACCATCATCAATGATGCTTATGTGGGTTGCTATGTCAACATCAACCTGAGAAATTCCACCAAAGCAAGAATTGAGCCAAGGTGAGAATGACACATCCAATTTCACTAATGTCACACAAATCATATCCCATGACAGTCTTATCCTGACCTCACTACTCGTGTTTTGTTTTATCATTTAACAAATGAGAAGAGTTCAACCAACAAAGAAAGGGGAGAGGGGAAAGAATACTTTTAACTTCAAAAAATTGTTTAAAATAGAATAAGATTAAAAGATTAACCTTTTCCTTCGGTGGATCTACACCAAATGCTACACCCATCGCTAACTGGGAACTTGATTCCTGGACCACCAATTACCATTCAATAAAGTTATATGTACAGGCAAAGAATTGCTCAAAAGCAATTAGGAAAATAAAAAAATAAAATAAAATAAAAGAAGAAGAGGTGATTACAGGATGATACTCAAGCAGGTTGTTTATGATGGTCAAACGGATTGCTTCCAGTAGCTCTGGATCTTCAACTTTCCTACCAGTATTGCTGGAGACAAGTAGTACAACTGAATCAGCTAAAAATTGCTGTCAAAATAGCATAGCATTATGATTAAAAGAGAAAACCACATGCTGATAAGAGAGAAAGAGAGAGAACACCTTGTTTTCATCTTGTAACTATTAGCTAATTCAAAACTTAAGACAGACTCCAAGTGAATTTGCTTCAAAAACCAGAGGAAGATGTTTTAATTCCTTTATATTGGAGGGGTTTTTTTTTTTTTTTTTTTGGGAAAATAATTCCTTTATGTTGGAGCACATAACAAAAAAAGGGATAAAAGACCCAAACAAAAGTCAGAGCAATCAACTACACACTGATATGGCAGAAGGTTAAAGACTACCAAGCATGAAAATTCCGAGTGAATTGCTAAAAAATGGATTGATGATTTTTCCTGATACCACTGGTGGAAGCTGAGCATAAAAAATGTGGCAAAGAACTTACGCTTTAGTGATGGAAAACTTGTTGTGCTTCCCAGAAGAATCAAGAAAGACATTGGCTTTAACCACATTTAGTCCAAGGTTTTTTAATGCATTCATCTGCAACTCGTTTACAGCTAATCAGGCCACTTTAATCATGAACCAAGCATTAAAAACCATGGAAGAAGCAAAATTTAGAACATGTAAAACAGCAGATAAGTTGTACTATACAGTATCAAGAAGAGCTCCAAGGCGATCCCCAAAGGTTATTTCTACTATAGTTGCATCTGGATCAGAGTCTTGGTCAATTATAACTTTTGGTGTTGGAACAGTGTCACCACCATCAAGGCTTCCATCCTGTTTTCCGTTCTTCAAACAAAAATTCCAAAGGAAAAGGTAAACTTAGCTAGTTATAATGCGATCAACATTCAGCCAGCCAACTAGCATTTTACCCTTCCATACCTCAAGAGTTGTGGGTGACAATGATGCTTGTGGAACAATTCTCATAGTTGATGATGAAAATCTGAAATAAGCAGAGATCTAAGATTAGATGTGGACTAATGAACTTCGTCCAAAAGTTCCTAAACCAGTCATTCAAACTATAGGCCACTTAAAGACCCAACATTCCTAAAAATGCCCATCTTGTATTTAATTTAATCTCAAAAACAGCTCCAATATCAAAACTGCAAATTGTAAACATTCACAACACTTGAGGATCCTTCAATAAGACGAAAACCCTCAAATAGAACGAGTAAACTAATTTAGTCAGCATTTGCAAGATAATTGTTAAATCCGAACATATCAAGTATATGCCTCAATAAGCACAATCTTCTACTAATAGTAGCATAATTCAGAAAAATAAGTTCAGGAAATTTTCCTCGTTAATTACCAAAGCCCCTGATTCTTTCATTTTTAATCATATCAAAGGGGACATCCCAGAAAATGGAAGCAAATAAAAGAAGCATCACAGCTTAGAAAACAAAATAGCAAAACTGCACAAGCATAACAACACCATTTTTCAGATCAGCTCGAAGAAGACGAACCAGAGGCAATGAATTACAGATCAACATGCCAGCACTAAGAATAGAACTATAAAATACAAAAGTAACCAGATATGCACGCAACATTTGCCAATCCAATCGAACCCAAAATACCTTCTTTTCTGAAGATTGTCGGGTAGTTTGCTAGAAAGGGCATCACAGAGCAAATGATTTTTGTGTTTAAAGACTGAGGCTTTACTCATGTTGTTGCTAAAGCACACTGCAAATTTGGCAGCTGAAGCCATAGCTGCAGCCATTTCTGAGAACAACCCAAGAAAGAGAATGACGAAGGACTTAAGTTATGGAAGCAGAAGAAAGACCCTGACGCTAGAGAGAAGAAGAAATAAAGGGGAAAGCAGCAAAATCAAAGAATGTCACAAATTTGAAGATATGAATATGAGTTCTAGAATGTGTTCTAGT